CTTTCGTTTGTTTATTTGTGCGGCTTCCTTTCCTCACCTTCTCCCGCTTCTTTTCCTTTTATATTTATAACCCTTTTCAGATAAAGGCCTACATTGAAGGCACGACTGCCCCGGGCAGCACGGTGATTGTGGACGAATCCATGCAACCCTGGATCGGTTCACATTGGCGGCAAGATTCCCTAATTCATCAACGGGAATGGGTGGCAAAGCTTTCGGCCGAGAAGGTCAGCTAATTGCGGGGTTTTCAGGGGCAAGAGGGCAGGTGGATGTCAAGTCAGACCCTGGAATTCATTAGCTGTGCACCTCCCCTCTGAACGTTCCCTCCCTCTTCTCGCCCTGGTTTCCTTGCGACAGAACGTTCACGTGTGGATCATGACCTCTTGGACGAAGATCTGGTCGTGCACAGGGATTCGTCTGGGCAGTGTGGTGGCCCCAAACCCCGAGGCCCTTCTTCAGCTGAAAGCGAAGCAGGTGCCTTGGTCCGTCAATTGTGTGGCGTTGGTACGTGGAAATTTTTACCCTGGACATGCGACTCACTCTCAGTCGAGTTCTGGAGGATATTGTCCGCTTGCGGTTTTTGTCCGTTATACACATGTAATACTTTATTTGTCGCTCCTGATTACTCTCTTTTTCGTAGGTTTGTGCGTGATGTTAGGGCAAAGGTTGCTTTTGATGTCTTGTAGATTTCGCGAGTATCTAAATTCTTAAGGACTTGAAGCTCCGGGAAATGTGTTCACCATTTCTGCAAGCAAAACCCCTTTGCGGTGGATATATTTCTTTCTGTTAGACGTCATTTGTGGCTTCCTGCCTTTTCCCGCTCGCTCGATACGTTTCTCCATCCAATAGGCTTTTCTATCCAGCGTCGTTCATGACGAAGCGTATCTTGCCTCCACATGGAAACTTACTTCTCAGTGGAATAGGGCCCTGCGAGCCGAGCTAGCCAACCACTTCCCATCATGGACGGTTCGTACTTCACTTAAAATGTAACCCAACAGGTTGTCCCCCTCTAGTTCTGCCTGGGGTCATACGCCCATTTTCCTTTGCACCTTCCCTTCCTCGAGCATTCCTCGTTTTGTCATCTTCTTGTAACGCCTCGTCTCGACTTCTCCTTAATTTTTTCCAGGTACATGGAGAACCATACCTATCGTGGGTATGGGTGGATACACACGATGTCGACACGACTGCTGAGGCCGTCGGGCTGGCGAGCGCCGCAGGCACGCCGGTTCGGAGTGCTGGTAAGGAAAAATCGCGATATAGATGAGTAGAGAGGGCCGCTACTTGGACTTGAGAATTGTGGGAGTCGCCAATCGGAGGAAACTCCTCAGTTATGAGATGAAGGAATGAGAGTGGAGAACGAGGCACGGGAGTTATGTAATTCTAGCCCTAACCTGTGTCCAAGTGGAATTTCATATATTTATTCGTCACCAATCTTTTGTATTTTACCTAATACTGTCTAGGTCCTGGATACAACATGCCTACTTTTTTCCGCATCGCTGTACGCAATCCGAAAGTTACTAGCATTTTGTTGGGATCCTGGAAAAGCCTTGCGAAGTGAAACAAAAATTATATTGCACTCTCTAGGAAAGCGAGGTCAAATGTCCTTTAAGGCGCGAATCGAAAACGAGGAAACTTTTTAATGTGCCAAAATAAGTTCTGGAAAAAAGTGATGTCGTAGCTTCATAGTGTCACACGCGCTTTGGAATGGCACGTCGGGGATGCGTTCACTCATATTTTTTCTTCGTTGTTTCTGGTTTCTAGATTACAACGTAAAGGAGGAAGCGTCTGCATGCGTGTTTTGATGGTAATTACCGACTTTGATACCCTTGAAGTTTGTTGCAGGCCAACACTGTGCTGATCATTGAGATAATGAACAGGCACCCTCAAAATATATATTGTTATGACGAACTTGACTATACCATCTCTGCTAGTGTATGTTTGCGATCTGTCATGAGTACCTGAGAAATTAGTGATCGACATGACGTAGACTCACTATTCCTATTGTCAAGCGGATAGTTTCCACGTCGAAGGTGGCGTTGATCTCTCACACCTCGACGGTCGTCATGCCTTAAGATACCCGGCCGTCCAGGCCCAAACCCTAATCGTTGCTCCCACATCTCTGTGGAGCAACGAATCAATAAGAGATCGCAAGAGGATGGACCGCATTTAAGCGTACTTGAACCAGCGTCTCCTGCGCATGACACTAGGTTGTCATAAATTTATCACAGGGGATATACGCTTCTACCAAGAGCCAGAAGCTCCCCGCGGGTCGCTCGAATTGACTATAGCTTGTCAATTCCTCTACGATTCGGCTTTCACTACATAGCTCCGTGAAAGATGTCTTCGAGCGTAGATGGGTGGACGTAAGAAGCGAGAGGCAAGTTCTATTCCTCCCCGGTCGTCGTTATGTGCACACGCCGCCCACCTACCGGCTTCTCATACTATGTTCTCCTCTTCTCCTGCACCATAGCCATCCCTCTCGTCAAGATTGCTGAATGAATGAAGGAAGGTCTGGAACGCGAAACGACGGTATGGCTCGCCCTCCATGATCTTGCAGACCACCTGTTCATCACAACAACCAGGGAATGATCGAACAACCCTCAAAGTGCGGGAATGTGGAAAGTGCAAGCGCGCAAATGCAAGTGCTCCACTCGGATGGCCTAGTGCCCACTTTGATCACACTCTTACAGTGTACGGCCATTTTACAGAGGTTTACGGTGTGAATAAGAGTGAATGAATATAAAAGCTCCATCAAGATACCTTAACAGAGCAAAAGCAATGGAATGATGGTACCGTCGAGTATTGTGCGTGCTAGTAAAGTAGTTCTGTGATGTCGGAACTTCTCGATATTTTCAATACATATGCGTAAGTAGCGCGATTTAAGGTCAGGGAGGGAGAAGTAGCGGTCACACCAATGTCTATTTGTTGGCCCTGGTTCTTTGTTCGCCCAAAACTCGATCGAAAGAGCACGAATGCTTTTTGGGTTCTTCGCCCGCCTTACTGTTCTTTATTCATTCCGCCTTCTTGCTTTTGAAATCAATCAAAGCTTTTATGTCAAAGCACAGGGAGACCGGAATAAAACCAACCCTCGGCAAACTTTTTAAGTGGTAAAAAGGCGATTAATATGTAAGTTTTTTTACGAATATAAATAAAATAACAATGGCAAACATGAAACGAATATCGAGTTACAAGAGAGAGTGTTCTCTCAATTAACGAAGGACTAAGGCGCTTAGGCGCTCAAAATCAAGCCTTGAGTAGGACCTATATTTGGATGTAACGGCCACAAGTTTCAGCTATAGCCGCAAAAATTAGTTAAAGAGTTCCAATATCTTAATGGCTGTTTGAAAATTGATGCGAATAAACAAACTAATGCCACTGTGGATAACCCAATATCCAGTTGATTCTTCAGTACAATTACTATTCTCCCTGAGAATGTAGACCAATCGATTCACCCAAGAATCGTGTACTAAGATAACCAAAGACAGATCAAAGACAACCAAAGATGACCAAAGACACTGGTCGACGCCAGTCCTGTTGTCGTACAATAATATAACATACAAATGATTAGGTGGACGCAAACCATGACATGATACAGTAGTGATCAGCACATCGCGATACAGAATGTTGGATCCATCCCATCAAGGATATAGGTGCAACACTGTAAGATGGCTCGCTTAACCTCCTATCGCTGAACTCATGCTCCCTTAGCATCATCATGTCATCCTTATATTCGCGTCACCCCCACTCGTACTCCTAATCATTATGGATCTTCCACAGCAGTTAATCCTATAACTCGCATACTTAAGATAAGAACCATATCTCTCATCTCTAATATATCTACGCTGATTCCACAGCTGCCTCCAGATCCCAATTAAGACTTATAACCCATCATTCGATCACGTATCATTGCTAATCGAATACTTGATAATGGTTTAATTAAAATATCCGCAAGTTGATGCTGAGTAGGAATGTATACCAGTTCCACTTCCTTACTCTCAACTTTCTCACGCACAAAATGATATCGAACATCGATATGTTTCGTCCTCTTATGTGTAATCGGACTATTGCTCATTGCGATACAAGCTTGATTATCCTCCATAATCACGGTAGCTTCATCTTGCTTATATCCAAGGTCCATAAGTAATTGACGAATATAAACTGCACTTTGTGTCGCTGAACAAGCAGATATCAACTCCGATTCAGCCGACGATAGAGCCACCACATCTTGTTGCTTGGCTTTCCAATCAATCGTGTTGACATCATCTCCATGACTCAACGTAAAGGTATAACCAGACGTCGAACGTCTATTATCCTTATCACCAGCATAATCTGCGTCCGCGAATCCTACCAGGGTAAACGATCCCGTAGATTTACCTGTGTATTTGAGACCAACCTCACTAGTACCCTTCAGGTACCTCAATACACGCTTTGCAGCGATCCAATGTTCTTCATTTGATCCTTGCAAGTGTTTCCCCAACGACTGCACCGCAAATGCAATATTTGGACGCGTGACCAGTGCTGCATACAATAAGCTACCCACAAGCTTCATGTATTCATTATCTGGCTTGATTTCCCTATCATTCGTTTTCGTCAGTGTTCCTTCCATCGGTGTTAATACTGGTTTACAATCAGCCATTCCAAACTTCTTGAGTACCATGTCAATATAAGCCGTTTGAGAGATTTCCATAACTCTCATTTCTCTGTCACGTTTAATAGCCATCCCAAGAATCCAATCAAGTTCTTTCAAGTCCTTCATGCTAAATTCCTTTGAAATAGCTAGCTTGAAATCATTTATCATATCCCTGGCATTACCAGCGATAATTAAATCGTCCACATATAAGACGATAACCAGCATCTCACCACTAGATCCAAACTTCACATAGATGCATGGATCCGCAGAAGAAGAATGGAAACCGTATCCTCGGAACCATCCATCAGTCTTGTTATGCCAATTACGTCCAGATTGCTTCAGGCCATATAATGACTTATGCAATAGACAAACTAGCTCTTCTTCATTTGGTCCATACTGTCCATATCCAGTTGGCTGCTTGACGTATCTCTTTTCTTCAAGGTCTGATTGAAGATAAGCTATGTCAACATCCATGTTATCCAGTTCAAGATCCAATATGCATGCTAATGCCAATATCAAACGTATAGTCGTTATCGATGCAACCGGTGCATAAGTATGGAGATAATCATATCCATACTCTTGACTATAGCCCTTTGCAATGAATCTTGCCTTTCTCCTTACCATGATGCCATTCTGGTCTCTTTTATCTGTTTCCACCCAGCCACTCGAGATGCAATGTTCTCCCTTCGGTAAGGGGGTTAATTCCCAGGTACCGTTCTTCATGTACGCCTGGTACTCCGCATCCTTGGCTTTCTTTCTTTCAGCTCGCACCTCACTCTCATCTTCCGTAAGATGATAGTCCTCATTGACGATTTCTGAGGCTGCAGCGAAGGCCAAATCACCTCCCATGGTTACAGGTCCATCATATATTCGATGATATTCACGAGCTTTTGTCCTGCTTCGTGTGCGTTCCTTATTGTTCATATTCCGAATAATATCATCAGTGTCTTTCCATCCTAACGCCTCCACTTGCGACGGATACTCCCTGACATGATCGACTTCACGATCATCGGGTATTTCATCTTGATGTATATCGTCTTCCATGTCATCATCATCCTCACTTGTATTAGTAGGTGGTACCATCTTCCTGATGAGCCCCCACTGTCTTGATAGATTCTACGTCATCTTCTTCTACATCGTCGTGTAGTTCAACTCTAGAAACTGGTCGTTTGTGCTTCGCTGCTGGAAACGTTGCCTCATCAAAAGTCACATGACCAGATTTGATGTATTTTCCTATAGAAGGTACATAGATTTGATAACATTTAGGACGTATCCAATGATGATCCCTTCTAGAGCACGATCATCAAATTTTCCTCTACTAACAGACGTATCGTGGACGAATGCCTTGCATCCAAAAGTTCTAAAATGCTTTACACTAGCATGCTTTCCGAACATTTTATAGCAGGGCGTTTCCCCTGGCCCCAATGCGGAAGTCTTGGATCGGTTTAAAATATAGGCAGCAGTGTTGAGGGCTTCAGCCTAGAAACCCTTTCCCAATCCAGCCTGTATGCAAATTTCTGACGCGAATATAGAAATGACAGGATGATGATGTAATCCTGTAAAACGGCTTAAACGGCTCTTTCTACCTCCGAGCTGATCCCT